GTTTCATACATTATAAATGAACTTCATACAAACGAAAAAAATATTCGTTTCTATTAATATTTGAAATAAATTTAAAATAATGATGAAAAATAGTAGTATTGCAACCGAACTATTCAATTTAAGAGTCTGAGACAGCATATATATAGAGATATATAAAACAAATACACACACACATACATTTTGCTCCGAGGCCCCATTATGGATAGACAAATAAGAGAAGATCATAAGATTTGAAAAGCACAGAAAAAAAATGAACAGGGAAACAAAACCCAAAAGCACACGCAGTAAGACCCAATAATGAAACTCCCACCCATAAATAAAAATAGTTACAGCCAGAATAATCAAATCAAAATAAAACACAAATTGCTAAACCAGTAAGAAAATATTATAAATAAATCAAGTGCTGACCCCTATTTGAAAATTTTGAAAAATGAAACAAAAATATATTCAATGAGAAAATTTTTTTTAAAAAGTGCTGCCATCTGCTTTGGAAAATAAGTCCTAAATTTCACCACATAGGCCTATTTATGCGGGCTTCAATATCGGCTGAACTGTTTGAATATTTTGAATTAAAACATCCTAATTATAGTAATTAAAAGGAAAATTATTATTCTTTAATTATTAATAATCTTGAAAGTCCCTATAGCTGGAAGAAAATTGTTTTATTATTACAAATAAATTTAAACCTAAGAATTTGACTAATCATAATATTCTTAAAAATCTTAAAGTAAAGGTTGGAATTAAAATGCGTTAAACCAATTACATAAAAGTTAAAATTCCTTCTTTTATTGTATAATCCGATGAAAATTTTGTTGCCCCGAAGTTTAATAGGAAGATGGAAAAAATATGCACAATTATCTTCTGAATTAGTCTTAATTACATTTAATTCTTTAGGATAAATATCATTAATTAAATCAAAATCATTACAAATAATGCATCAAAAATAGTTACAATCTAAAATAGTCATCAATAAATCTAAACCCAATTAATAAATTATGTTGTAAAAATATATGTTCATAAGAATGTAAGAAAATATTAGCAAAATCACTTGAATAGCAATTGCCCATTGAAATACCTTTAATTTGTCTGTAAAAACAAATACCATTGAAAAGATAATTTTCGAAAATGTTTACATTACATAAATTTACAAAATCCTCTTTATTAACGTCTTCATTAATCAAATAATTAAACATTTCAAAGCAAATATTCTTTAAATTATCGTGTGGTATACTCATGAAAAGATTTTCAAAATCACATGTAAGAATATTATTGTAATTTAAATATTTAATAACGTCTCGGTTGTTATTAATAAAATGCTTATCATTCGAAATAATCTTTTTGAAAATGCTTAAATAATTAAAGAATCTTTTACCAAAAAAAGAATTATAACAGGCAGTATTGCAGGTCACAAATTCGAACCTGGTGTTTTGTAGAACTTAATTGTTGGAAATGAATAAGGATAATTAAAACTATTGAGTGTTAATCCTATTTTCTTGGAAAAAGCTTAAATTCTATTATCGATTTCGTTTTTAGAATTATTAATTTTGACAAAAGTATTATTGTTTCACATTCTTTACTCATGAAATGCTTTTGCAAATAAAGCACAAATTAATAGAGGCTATATCAACAACACAAATAATTTTTATATATAAATATAAACTAAAACTCAGCGGCGCGACAGCCCATAGAGGGCCCAAGGCCTACTGTGCCCATCTCAGTGTTCTTGACCTTGGGCTCTGGGGTGCAGGAGCAGATGTTCTGGTAAGGTGGTCAACCGAACGCGGAACCCCCAGTGTTTAGTTCCCAAGCATGCTTGGTACTCATTTATCGACCCACTGAAGGGATGAAAAGCTGAGTCAACCTTGCCCGGTCCGAGGATCGAACCAGGAACCTGTGGCACGACAGCGAGAAGCGTTACCGCTCAGCCACCGGGTGTCATATATACCTATACATATACCTATACCTATACATATACATATACCTATACATATACATATACATAAAAATATACACATGTGCATAAAAATATATACATATATAATTATCAAAAAATAAATATGCATTACGATATCGAAGTTGGTAAAAACAGCGGAATTAAAATCATGAAAAATCATATCAAATGAGACTGGAATGCACTTCGTTTTTTCATTTCAAAAAACGCTGGTGGTTATAGTTGAATTTACTCCCTTCTCTTGAATAACAGTGATTAGTTTTGATTCTCTCTAACTTTAATAATGATTTGTAATTTCCAATGAAGATAGTTTTTTTGAATTCAGGGAATATATAATGTAAGGTTAGTCATCAAATAACTACTATATTGGATTGGATGCTTGCAACCGACGTCACGCGAAGTTGAATCACGACATTTGTTTATGCGACGAGTCAACAACCAATCAGATTTGACACGCATGCATTTATCCAAATAAATCTAATTCAAAAATTGATTCAGCGTGATGGTTAACCAAGCCTGAAAGCTGTAACGTTAACACGCCATGCCCAACATATTTACATATTATGATTACAGTTTTACATACTTTTGAAAAGGCAGTAATACATTTTTTGAAATTTTGTTTTTTCTTACATCAGTTTCTTTAATTTGTTTAATCGAGTACATAATTTATCTAATAAATCATGTTGTTTAATTTCATTTAATGAAATTTTATAATGTGCTTTACTTTAATTTGGTGTCGATCTTAAGTATGCCGGCCGGAAAAAAAAGAACTTAACAGATCCGCAAGTAATGTCTATCACACGTAGACACTAGTTAAAAAGGGATTTTGAAGGACGATTAAAACAAAATCTCAACCACATTAAATTATAGAATCCACAAAAGAAAAATAGACTCCTTAATCCAAGTATAATTGCTTTTTCATCAAAATCGATTTTGTAAAAAAAAAAATAAAACCATTTATTAAAGAACAGCTGTTTTGGACTTTAATTCCTAAAACTAAAACTTCATAAGATTTAGCGAGACAAAAACGGCTTTTTTCAGATTTTTAAAACTTAAAAAATTATTCAGGAACATAAATCAACGAGAGAAAAAGAAAATTGAGTTTCTGGCACATAAATCGGACTTTTACGGTCGCTTTTATTATTTTATCAAAACCAATTTGTTTTTATAAAATTTTACATTAAATCAATATTTTTTTTTACAAATAATTGCTACCAATTTAATAAAGAATGAGCTTGTTATTTTTCAATCTTTCTCTACATGCAGTCCCTGGCCAAATTATTAAACGCACTCTAAGATTCTATGTAAAATCTATATATATATATTTCTCTTACACGGCGACAAAAAAAAGCCTCATTACAACTCCCCGAATGGCAACGCTAGAAAATCGACCTATGATTGCCGCTAAAAATGTCACATGCTAAATCTAGCTCAGATGACTCAACATATAGCGCTTTTAAAATCGATCTCTATTTTAGTATTTTGTCGAAAGCGTTTTTTTCACGAATTTATATATTACGAATTTATTTGACGATTTTTGATTTATATCACGAATTTGTTTTGCAAGAAGTTATTTGTTTATGCAGGTTTTTCCATTACAATTCACTTATTTCAATTTCTAATAGACTTAATTATAGCCAAAATTTTAACCTTTTTAAAGAGATATCAGTTTTAGAAATTTTATCTTAAGATTTTATACTATAGCACATTTCTAATAGGTTTAACGAATTACATGTCATTTCTTTGAATTCAAATTTATTTGAATGACTTAGTATTTACTAAAAAGATGTAATTTTTTGTTTAAAAAAAGTTTTTATATGGATTTGAATGATTGTTTTGAATTCTTAGAATTTTGTGAATTTGCACTGTACCTAAGTCAGTAGCGAGCGAAGCAAACCATATAAGATTGCGTAGCAATTTTCCGGGGTTGGCGAGCGTTAGTGAGCAGGGGGCGCAGCTCACTAGTATTAATTATTAGTGTATCCTATACAGCTTTATTGTTCTTACGAAACTGAAACAGGTTTGCACTTGTTTACGCTAGTGTATCAAATGGTGAAATGAGAAGATATATAATATAAATTCGACGTTTGGATACATTAGACTATATATAAATATAGAATGATTATTATATCAGGCATTATATTAGTACATTATAATAATTAGACTAAATATATTCGACGCACTGTAGTGCATTAATAATGGAATGGTTTGCAATACTTTTAGATTTAAACATATACGTATGTAATGAGTTTTTATTCAGGAGAATTTTTATAAAATTCATATTTGTATTTATTTCTTACGTACTGCATTACAATGTTTAGCAATTGATACACGAATGTAAACAAGTGCAAACAGGTTTCAGCTGCGTAAAAACAATAAAGCTGTATAGAGTATATCACCTGTATAATTAAGATTTCGCATTGAATATTAGAGTTCGTCTAATCATTTGGCCAGGGACTGAATGTTTAAAACAAAATGTACATCAATTACTTCAATCACAATAAATGTATATCAATTACATCAATGTACTTCAATTTTGTGTTATATCCTTTTGTACAGAGCAAAAATCTGTAGCACATGGAAATTAAATTTTTGAAACTCGGGTGAAAAACGCAAAAGTTGTTAAAAATTGCAATAATAAATATTTGATTTACTGCAATTCAATTTGAATTTCTGAGAGTAAATACTAATACTGACGCATTACCCAGTACATAACTCATTAAAAATAAAAATTAAAAGTGAAGAAATAAAATAAAAAAGTGTTATTTAAAAGTTATAAATTCCGTTTTTTCCCGAGATTTTCTTTCGTAAAATCTTAGATCGGGAACAAACAGCAAACGTTTCTAAATAGTATAACATTATCAAACAAACTGTAAAAAAAATATTCTTTTGAACTGTCGAATAAATGTTTAGTTTAAACATAACTTTTTCAGCATATATTTCAAAGTAGACAAAACTTGACACATATAGAAAAATGTGCTGGGAAGAATTTTAACATTCCATTAATAATTTGAAATCTATTAAATCTGGAATTCTTAGTAAAACTTACCCCATTCCATTCCACACGAATTCAGCTAGATAATGAGACATTCTTAAAGTTCTTTCAATCATTTAGATATTCATGCGTTCACCAAAAACAAAACGCGTGATAGTCAACTATAATACGTGACACTTCAAATTCAAACACTTACTCTCTTATCAGACAAATTTAGGTTTACGAACTTATAAGAACAAATCACAAGTGAAAATATATGCTGTCATATTTTTTGCATCACTAAACAAATAATTCGCGAGGTAATATTAACACACGCGAGAAACACTGTCTAGTCAAGTCAAACAGTCGACTGATCGTAAAGACACGGTTCTCAGCAGAACAGCGAAGTCAAACATCACTGGTTACGGTCATAAAGTGGGTGGGTGATCACTTCACTTTGATCAGCATCCCGCAGTGGACTGATTGTTTGTTTTTTTCGAATGGCAGGCACTGAACTTCATTCGTTTCGCCTTAGAAGATGACAGAGTTCTTACTCATTTCGCGTTACCCAGTGGGCACCTGTGAACCAAAGTCACGGAGGCGAGTAACATTGTCCACGCCACACTGCCACAAACCCGTTCATAGGGTGGGCCACATTCACTCATCACACACAACAGAGGACAACACAAGAGAGAGAAACATCCATGCCCAGAGCGGGATTCGAACCCGTGGCCATTGGTTTCGCAGTCAGGCGCGCTAATCGCTCGGCCACCTGGCCGGCGTAGACTGATTGTTAAGACACGGTTCCCAGCAGATCACCGAAGTCAAGCATCACTGGCTGCGGTCAGTGTGCGGGTGGGTGACCACTTGGATCAGCCTGCGTAGGGACCAAGGGTGTGCGGTATGGGTCCTCGTTAAACAGTTCTACCATAAAGTGCTTGACTTCGCGTGCAGGTCGTCGGTGCCATCCCCTCTGTAGAGGATCAAAATTGTGATGGCATGTCCTCGGATCATCTTCCAGTGATACTTTACAGACCGTCGTTAGTAGCCCATTGAGCAGCTCTAGTGCGACGTAAACAAAGTACCTACCTATCTAGTCAAAAGTGTACGGGCACCAGTGTTTTCATGGTTTTGGTCGCTTTGCGCCTGTGGCTCGAAACGTGAAGTCGGTGATGCATGTTGAAACAGTATGTACATACTTCTGAGAAGTATGTGGACATAGTAAATGTATTTACACATCTCTAAGAACGCTCCTTTCAGCTAGTCAATCTCTAAATAAACAGAGTAATTGTTAAATGCTTTTTCGATTATAAAAGAGCAGTCACTTTTATAATTAAATTTGATAAATTCAGAGTTTACATGGGCCGTAGTAGCCCTGTGGTTAGAGAATCGAACTTCTATCCGGAATGGCAGGGATTGACCCTCCAACCAAGTTCCTGCGGTATAAGTGCTCGTGAAATCCGTAAAATCGAAGGTAATGTAAACTGTCGCTGAGCCTATCGCTTTCTATATATCTCATATATTACTATGGGTGCAGGGATCTGGAGAAATTTTCTTCCCCTTCAGATCCACGTCTAAATTGGGGAAGAGGCCTCACAAAATTATGATGGTATGTTTTTGGATCATCCTCAGCGATGTTTCCCAAACCGTCACCAATAGCTCACTGTGTGGCGTAAATAAAGCACCTATTTACGTTAAGGCCATAATATTTCTGAACTGTCATAAATTTTATGAGCGTCAATTTTTTAGTATATTGGAGAATTTTTGAACAAATTCAAAAATTACAAGTAAAGGGCGTGGGAGAATTTGATACCCGTAGCGAATTATTTCTATTATTTTTGTTATTATTAACAGTACATATATATTATCGTTAAACAGTCGACACAATGTTTTGGGTTTACGACAATTAATGTTCAATTCCGTAGCCTTGTCATTTTGAACCCAATCCAGAAGACAAGGTAACTCCGGGATCAAGTATTGGGAGAAATTTTGTTTTCGTGGAGGACTTTCTAATGGAAATAACCAGCATTTGAGCTACATGGAGAGTAAAATCTCGAAAACCTCCCACGGTTGGCCTGACGGCAAGGGAACTCTAACTCATGATCCGTCTACCACTGAGGATATTTTACGTCGGTGCGAGCCGGATGTGTAATTTTTATTGACCAGTCATCGCTGGATTCGAATCCGGTTCACCTCATTGAAAGGCGAACGCTCTATCCCCTGAGCGATCAAAGTACATGTAGAAAGACAATTCGAAAGTTGAGTAAAGTCTGAAATTTAATTTTACATTTTTCTGGGAAAATCGCAGAATAAAATATTACGCCCATTTGTATTATCTCTGCGCAGGGACATGACGAAGATCAAAAATTATTTATTGTATGAAATATACAAATTAATTTAGCGTTAAATAAAGACATAGCAGTTGTAGATAGCTACTAAAAATCCCTTTATAGCGATTTAAACTCGCTGAAATCATGAACGAACCCGCTGTCACTTACCAAAGCGTTCTCTTTTTTTTACACTGAGAAAAAAAAAGTATGATAAGAACCATTAAAATAGGATCAAATTTACTGTGTTTTTTTGGCTCTATGGGAACACCGAAAAACAAGATAATTTTTACCGTAGTGCTTTGGTAATGAATTTTTCAATAAATTAATAATAAAATTTGGTTTTTATTATCATGCTGTTTTGGGGGTAAATGCTGTAAAATTAAGTAATTACCGACTCATCTCCAATATACCAGCACTATTTAAATTACCGACTTATGCTTAAACAAAAGTCATTTAACAGTGCTCGCACAATTTGAAATGACTCAAAAATGTTCGTTTTGATAACCTCTATTTTGTTTTGAAATCGCTTTTATGTCTCGTTGGGTTTTTTATATGTAAGCTGTAAGTTGACATTTACAAATATTTAAAATTATTAAAAATATGCATTTGTAAATGTGCTGTTGTTGTTGTTGTTCATTTACGTCGCACTAGAGCTGCACAATGGGCTATTGGCGACTGTCTGGAAAACATCCCGAAGGATGATCCGAAGACATGCCATCACCATTTTGATCCCCTGCGGAGGGGATGGCACCCCCGCTTCGGTAGCCCGACGATCTGCGCGCGAAGTCGAGCACTTTACGGTAGCACAGTTTAACGAGGGCCCATACCGCACACCCTCTGTCCCTACGCAGACTGATCCCAGTGGTCACCCACCCGCACACTGACAGTAGCCAGTGATGCTTGACTTCGGTATTCTACTAGGAACTGTGTCTTTGAAAACAGTTTACTGTGGGGGAAAATNCCCGCACACTGACAGTAGCCAGTGATGCTTGACTTCGGTATTCTGCTGGGAACCGTGTCTTAACGATCAGTCCACTGCGGGACTGTAAATGTGCAAATGCCTGGACAAGAATTGGATTAGTTCAGTAACTTAACTGTTACTAAATGTATACTATATCGGGGTAAATAAGATTACTATATCAGGACTGTTAAAGCATCCTGAAATACAACTGCTACGCAATACAAATAAATCCCACCGTAACTCTGTATCCATTTTATCTATATTTATTTATTAGTTCATTATTACGCACACATACGCGGACTTGTGTTTCCATTACAAAGCTGGCTATTATGTAATTGCTAAATCTATATACAGAAATCTCAGGGGTAGAGAAAGACAGCACATACTTACGGACACGATGGGATTCGAACCAGTTACCTCCACGTTGCAATCGATGCTTCTTTGCAACGTTTTTCTCTCATTTGAGCAATATTTCCTTAAACTTGTGTAGGGCTTATAAAGAGTGTTTTTTTCAATGAGCACACAAGCCTTATTACTATTCCAAGAATTAATTCCTCTTATGTGTAGCAACAGTAAAAAAAAAATTCTTGGAATAGATATGATTTTTTTTTTTTTTTACACCAGTCGCGTTTTTCCACCACGAACGTAGAGGGTTCGAACCAAAGTATAACCATGAACCCGTAACAGTAAATTGATAATTTTGGTTTTGATACTTATACAGTTTGTCTACGGTAATAACTCCCTCCGACGCAAAGTCTGAGACCGTCTGCTGCTATGAAAACAAGAATCACACATTTCAGAGAGGGTAGCTTCTCTTCACTCTAGGACTAACACAATAGATCGAAGGGAAAAAATTTCCTTTCTGTCACCGACCCACGCCAAGACCTCTCCTAAACAGTAACTCCACACCCCTACTTGAAATAGTTATATCTCGTTACCATAGTCACCGCTACGGGTCCAGACGAATGGCTAGGGGTGTTCTTACTTTAGACAAACTATTCAGGGTAGTGTCCTTAATGCAAATATTTGCCTGCTTCATATCCAATTTGTCAGGATCCTGATTCCTCTCCCACGCATTGGATTGACCCCTTGACCTGAGGGTCAGAGGGTGAAGGACACTGGAGGTGTCGTCCCCTACCTTGGGGGTGGAGCAAATGACTGTTTCTGAGGAGAGAGAATATTTTTAGACGAGATTCGTTTTGAACGCCGAAGAGTAGAGTTGTAATTGAACGATGATAGATTTAGTATGAACAAAAAGAAAGGGAGCAGTTGCGATCCAAAAACATTATACTCAACAGCTCATGTATCTATTTGTAACCTTTCTGTACATAATTCTATAATCAAGAATTTAATAATAAATAAGCTATAATTGAAATAGTCCTTGGTCATCATTAAGAGGACATAAAAACGAACCAAGAGACAAAATGTCTCACACAATTACAGAAGAGTTATAGCATAAAAATGAGAAAAACGGCACAAAGATATTGAACCCACGCTTTTGAGGGTTTGGGACCCAATAATATAGGGTTGTTTTACATAAACTCCGCCCTGCAGCATTCCGCTAACAGGTATGAAGCGTATATGTAGTTGGCGCGAATCCCACTATAGGATTCGATGTACGTCTTTTGTAAAATTGTGATATCTGTTTTTCAAACTAGAAGGGGAAATGAAGAGGGTTCTTTGTATTTGCGAAGAAACTCACATACGTAAATAAATAAATAAATTAGGGGCCCCTCTGGCCGAGCGGAATGCTCCGTTAAACGCTGTGCAAAACGTGGTGGTAGCGCGTTCGAATCCCACTCTTACCCTGGATATATCTTCGCGCTGTAATTCTCTGTATTGTGCTATCTGTCCTTTATTTGACAAAGGTTTATAAGCCTAAACTGAGCATACAAGCCTCCAAATGTATGTCATTCCAATAAACAATAAGTCCAGCAGTGGACTGATCATTGAGACACGGTTCCCAGCGCATCACCGAAGTCGAGCATCACTGGCTGCGGTCAGTGTGCGGGTGGTTGACCACTTTGATTAGTCTGCGTTGGAGCCCAAGGATGTGCTTTGGGGCCAAGGTATGGGTCCTCGTTTAACTGCTCTAC